ACACTGACACAGGCTGTCTCTGCTGGCGAGGCCGAAGTGAGCCTCCCGATCCAGGAAAGCGTTTGCCTGGGTAAATACTTCCGAGGAAAAGAATGCCGGGAAGAGCGGGGCTGAGCCACTGGCAGCCGCAGCCAGCCGGGAGAAATGTTTGAAAACCCAGCCCAGGACTCAGAAGGCTTTTTGTCAAAGTCATAGCCTGGATGCCCACTTCTGCCGCGGAGGGGTACTCTACCTGGGCGGACTAGCCCAAGGCATCCTCAGCATTTTCAGCAGAGCCAGGGAGGTCGCAGCACCCGAGGCTTGGGCGCCCCGCCAGGCCCCTTACAAGCGGGTGGAGGAGCTCCGGGATGGAGCTCCGCATCCCGCGAGCACAAAGACTCCCGTGCGCACACCTACTATTCCCCAGACCCCGGAGTTGCTCTACAAGCCCTCAGACTCCATTGTGTGACAGATTTTTGGACTCTCCCACCGACCCTCCCCCCTTCCGGAGCCTCCTCCAGGAATCCACCACCTCCTTAGGACAGAAACCTTTTCCAGACAAACGTTCGCAGTTAGTGAGCGACAGCCGGCACGAGGAGGGAGTTATAGAATTCGATTTCATCAAATTGCCAAGAAAAACAACATATTTTGGGGGAGGTTGTCATTTTTTTTTTTTCTCAGAGTTTCTCCGGTGGAAGACAGAGAGGTGTTCGCGATTTTGCGGAGGCCCTGTGTTTTCCCGATTTCTAAGCCGGTTTTCTATTCGAAAGAGGGCCGAGGTCGTGGGTTCTCCCTTCCCCTTCTTTGAAAGAGTCCCCGAAATGCACACAAGGCCAGGAAAAAAGGAGAGTTTTCAGGTTACAAACAAAAACGTTCCAGTTCCGCAGCCCGCATTTTCCTTGCTCTGCCTGGCCTGCGGGTTGATTTTTATCAATTGTCCTAAATGTTCCCAATAACCAATTAATCGCCCCTGTGGTGCGTAAAACAACTTCGCGCTTTTGGGTGCTTGCGATCGTTGAGAACAAACCGAAAGGAAGAAGACGCATCAAAAAACCAGCAACCTCTTTATAAGGTTCTGCTCAGCCGGGTGAGGGATGCCTTCTATAAAAGTTGCGTGTGTGTGTGTGTGTGTGTGTGTGTGTGTGTGTGTGTAAATTTCCCAGTGCTGGGGAGGCACACACTCAAAATCAAGACAGCACGTCTCCGCACCCATTTGCCTTCATTCTAGCCTGAAAGACATTTGTGCACACATGAAATAAATATGTATGTGGATTTTCAAAGAAAAAAATCATGAATAAAAATATTTTTTATTGTGTAAAAAGAACATTGTTTCCGTGTGAGCTTTCAGGGAGCCTGCCTGATCTTTTGCTCCCTGCAAAATGCTGCCAGGAGGCCCAGGGGATTTGTCCCCAAGATTGTGTTGATAACCACTACCCCGCCCAAGCACAGCAGGAGGCTGGCCTATAGCAGATACTTAATTGTCATTATTGTTAGAAAGAAGGAATGATGGAGGAGAGGCGAAGGCCGACTCTCCTTTTCCAAGGCTTCCTCCCGGGATGCCCACTTCAAACTCAGGGATCCGAGTCCTGGGGAGCAAATTCCTTCCCAGCTCTGGGGTTTGCACCTAGGTAGAAGCCGGTTCTTTGGTGGTGTTTTTCTTTTCTTTCAAAAACAAATCTCGGTGGGACAAAGAAGCTGCAAATGTTTAATTGTTTTGTAAAGTGCGGAGGTTGGTCACTCATTTCTCCAGGACAAAATCCAGCTTCTGTTGTTATTTTGTGGCTGAGCCAGAAGGACCTGGGAGGAGTCCCTGTCCTCTCTTAGGAGAAGCTCCATAATGATCCCAGGGGCAACTATGTGCAAAGGGTCGCAAAGTTTTTCCAGTGTTGAAATTTTTAAAAAGTACAACCACCCCAAAGTTTCAGAGGCCCATTTCTACTTTCCCAGGCCTCTTAGAAAACCCACGTGTGGCAGCTGCTGAGGTCAGTGGCTTAGCAGGATATAAGTGGTACTCCCAGAGCCCAGCCAGGAGTATATCCCATAGAGGGGCTGCCTGAGTCACCCCATGTTCCCAATCATTGATACCCCATTTTATAGGCACAACTGTGGGTGAACTGACTGGTGTGGCCTTCTCTCCAGGATCTAGAGTTCCAGGGCACAGACACGGCGCAGACATCAACAATGTGCCTCAATCTGGGGAATGCAGTACAGAGGGCCAGCCTCACACCATGTTATAGGACCAACCAAAGGACAGATCTTCAAAACCCACCCCAGTTCTTGCCCATGGAAAACATCACCAAGAAGAGCAAGGAGCAAGAGCAGTTTCTGACAGTTCCCCAGTTCCTGGGGACACTATCAAGACCTGCTACCAAAGCCCTGTGCTGGGCTCTGGCCTGAGGTCTTAGTATTCCCAGGCCCCAAAGAGTCCAGCTGACCCTCTTCACACTAGACCTTGGATTAGGTGACAATACTTTGGCTGCACTCACGGCTTGGCACACACAGCCCTGCCTTTTTCTCCAAAGGCTTCTAGCACTCGGACACCAGGAGCCCAAAGCACCTGAGCAGCCTGTCCGCCCTACAGCCCCATCCAAGACACTTTTCTGAGCACCACTTAGTTCTCACAGGCACACACACACTTGTCCCTGGACTGACTCCCAGGATCCCCACACCTTTCTCCCCACTGAGGCTCCTCACTGCCCCGCCCCCATTGCACTTCCAGGTATATGAGCCCAGGCAGGTCATAAGAAAAAGCCTGCGTCTGCTGTGGTCTGCCCCCAGCCTCCAGCCACACAATCCACAGCGTCAGCTTAGCATAGAAGCCGGCAGGTAGGGCTCAACACACTTCTCTAGCGTCAACCACTCTTTTCCTGCACACTGCGAGAAAGGAGGCTGTCTGGGAGGCCCGACTCCTTCAGCCAGCCACCCCAACTAGGATCCCTAGGCGGCAGCTTCCTAGGTAGACTGATTCTCCAGCTAAGAAAAATTGCAAGGGCAAAATTCCCGTATGGAACGGTTTAGGAAGATGGACACCCATTTCTCTTTACCAGAGAATAAAAGTACAACAAGGAACCAGGCAGAGTGGGGATCGCCCTGCCTGTACCGCAGCCGCAGCCGGGGTTCAGCACCCACCTCCCTGCTCCAGGAATCCCAGACGCTCTTGGACTAGGGAAGCACACAGTCAGGCTTGGCTCTCTAAAGCAATGCCTTTCTTGGAATATAAATTCTTGGTTCCCACTTCAGGCCTTAGTGGGGCCAAGCCCTTTACCAGGACAAGCATCATTTCCACCGGTCTGCCCAGGGCTTTGTCTTGTACCCCAATTCAGTCACTCAGCGCAGGTTTCCGGGACAACAGATGGCACCTAGGGGCCACCCCACCAGTGTCGGCTGGGATGCGATGGTCCGCCCCAACCCGGAGACAGGCAGCCCTTCGCGCCCTCCGAGGGGCCGGGCCCAGTGGAGCGCAGAGCCGGCCGCAGGGCGGCGCGGGCCCTTCCCGGCAGGGACTGGCCGGGCTGGAGTGCTGGTCCGTGGCGGGGAAAGAGAGGAGGGCGAGAGGCGCTTACTGTTGGTAGTCTTGTTTGCAGTACAGTTTCCGATCCCGGAAGTAGCAGCTGGTGGTGAGGGCTTGCTGACATGCCGCGCACTGCAAACACTCCTCGTGCCAGGACGACTCGTTGACTCGCATCAGGAAGCGGTCGGAGATGGGCCGCTGGCAGCCCTCGCAGACGGCGGGATGCGGGCAGTCGGAGCCTGTAGCGCACAGGGCGAGAGCCGGGCCGTCAGCGCCGCCTGGCCCAGTCCGGGAGCGCCACCCTTCGCTGGAGGAACCCCATCCGCCGCCAGAGACGGGGCAGCCATAGACAGCACGTCCCGGTCCATAAGCTGGGGCGCGGAGAGGCCGAGGGCCTGCAGCTCTGGCTGGGCACTGCGCTCTCCCAGGCTGCCGAGATTCAACAAGAAGGAGCTCCGCGCGGGGTGGCCGGCTGGGACCCAAGCAGCGAGGTGAGGCCCGGGCACTCGCTGGCTGACACGCCCCACGATGCTGATCCTGCCTTCTGCCCCAAGACCCATGGTTTGGATGGACCGGGGGAATATTCTTTTCTTCTAGAAGTTCCCCTTCCCTAGGTGACCTGGCACCTCTCCCGGACTCTAAGGTGACAACTTGGTCCTCTATCATCCCTGCCACCCGCTTCCCATTCCAGCCCAGTCCAGAGGAGCAGTTCTAGAACCCAGACCCGTAGAGGATGGTGCGAGTGACAGATGAGGCTGTTAGGTCCTGTCTGGGTGATGTCCCTGCATGTTGTCCCTTCGGGGAGCCTGTCTAGGTGTGCTGGTTGCCCTCCGGCCGTCTTTTCAGGGATCCGGACCCCCTCCCCACGTCCTGCAAACCCATTTTCTTTATCCTTTGGCCCTCACGCCAGTGTCCACAGCGGCACGATGGCCCTACCCCCCGACCAGGACTATTCGGGCGTTGTGACCCAGCACTCACCCAGCAGCACCCCCAGGGTGGCGGGCCCGGGGCGCAGGGCGTGCTCCTCCATCTTGATGCCGTCCAACATCTTGGCGCAGTCCGTCTGCCCGCGAGGGAAGCACCTCTCCAGCGACTCGGGACCTGTTGCTATATCCATGGGACGCAGGGCGCGCTGCGGACCCTGCCGGCCGGGCCGCTCGCCCTCGCGCCCGTCCGCCCGCTCCGCTGCAGCCGGGGAGGCGCGGCGCCCGCGGGGTCGGGGCCGCCCGCTGCCCCCAGGCAAGCGTGGAGCGGCGGCGCGCTGGCCCCGGGCCCCGGCGTCGTGCGGGCGGGCCCGGGCGGCCGGCAGCCCCGCGCGCCGTGCTCTCCGGGCCACTCGCAGCCACGCGCGCCTGCGGCTCGCCTGTCACCTGCTTGTCAGTCCCGGGTCCCGGCTGCGGCGGCCGGCAGCACGCGGAGCCGCCGGGAGGAGGAGGCGGCGGCGGCGGCGGCGGCGGGCGGGGGAGGGGGCGGGGGTGCAGGGGCGGCCCCGCGGGCTGGGGGGGCGCGGGTAGCGCAGCGGGGTCCCGGGCGGGGCGCAGCGGGCCGCGGGGCTCCGGGCGCGCTCCCCGCACTACTCCAGTGCCATGGTGCTCCGGAGGAGCCGCTCGGTTTAGAGCTGGGGCTGGCGGCGGAGGGATACTCCGGCCGGGAGCCGCCTCACCCCTCCTCAAACTTCCTGACATTTGAACTCATTGGTGCGCCTCGTATCACTGCGCCGGGATGAGCCGGCGGCTCCACGTCAAATAGTGCCGTCGCCGCCCCCCCCATCCCCGCGGGAGGGCTCCCTGAGCCCCCGGCCTGCACCCCGCACCGTGCCCCGGACCCGGTCAGCCAGCCTGCCCACCCTTGGCAGAAGTTTGGGTAGCCATCGAAACAAATCCTGTGCCCCACCCCTCTTGAAAAATTGATTTGGGAGTTGGGGAAATCAGGCTTTCTTTTTTTTTTCTTTCTTGCCTTTTTTATTATTAATATTTTTGTTAAAAAAAAAGCTCCAGCGATCAGAGGAGTGGCCCCGAGCGAGGCCAGACTGTGCAGACGGCGGGGAGCGCAGTGACTTCTCCAGGGGACGGCGCCAGGCGGAACGGCTGCCCGGGGACCCCGACTTGTCGGCGAAGGTAGGTCGCAGGGTCTGAATTGGTGTCTCTCCCCCCCCACCCCACCCCGTAAGGCAGCGCCTGCACCGGACAGCTCGATACGCAGAGAGAGACGGCTCCCGGGATCGAGGGATAGGGAACATCACATGGCGAGAGCTGCTGGCCCGGGACTGGCCAAAGGGAGCGATGGCCTGGGGACGGGGCGGAAGGACTCAATTTGAATGAGGGGTTCTGAAAACCTTGGCCTGGCAGAAATAGGGCGGGAGAGTGAGCTGAAGGAGCCCCCAGATCCTGAATGGGAGACATTGAGTGGGTGAGGACAGTCAGGCCAGAGTTGAAACCAGGAGCGTGTAAGAGGATCAACAGGACTGGAAAGGTGTCTTGGTCACCGGCGGGAGCAGTGGACGAAGGCTGGGCCTACCAGGGCTTGGAGCATGAGATGCAGGTAAGAAATGGTGTCCCCAAGATTTAGAGATGAAGGCCTGGGACGGCGCGAGTCCGACCGCTCCAAGGAAATCAGGGTGACTTCTTGAATAGGTGCCCTTTCACTGTGGCCAAGGGGCCTGGCCTAGGGTCGAGACGGAGTGCTGGCCAGCCTGGGCAAAGTGGGCCTCGACACCGGGCAGCGCAAGGCCAGAGGCATGCAGCTGGCGACTGCTGGGTGCATCCTACCTGACACCCCCCTCCACCCCGGGGAGGAAAGTAGAAGACATCGTGTCAGGACATTGGGCACCTTGGGCACTACCACTCGTCCTGGAATATCAGGAGGGATGGTGCGGCCTCAGGGCAGGAGCTGACTGCCACCCCCCCCCCCCCCGCCGCCGCCGCCGTGAGCCTCTGCAGGGCGGCCCTGGCCCCTCCGGGAGTGGAGCAGCGACGCGGAGCCGAGCGGGGGTGGAGGGCACGGAGGGCGGGTCCCCTGACCCCGCTGGAGGCGAGAGGGCGGATCGGATTTGGAACTTGCAGGAGGCTTGGTCAGAAGTGGCCCCTTGTGCTTCGGGGGGCCCCCCGGAGGGGCCCGGCTTTGTGGAGGATTAGCGGTCACCGCCCCACCCCAGTACCTGCCTGTGCGTCGGTGGGTATCCGAGTGTGTCTGTGCGTGTCGGCGCTCCCGACTCTGATGCTATTGAGTACGTGTGCACCCGTGTCCTTGTGCACATACAATTTTGTGTTTGTGTGGCCTTGCGACTTTCCAGATTGCGAGTGTCTGCGTGTTGTGTGCACATCTGCAGACCTTCTCTTGCTTCTGTGTCATGCTTTCTCACGTCTTTGTATGTGTCCTTGTGTCCGGGTCACTATGAAGATGCCTACGCCTTTATGTGCGCCTCGGCCCCCGTAGTGTGTCTAGTAGATTTTTCTCTATATGTGTGTCTCCGAGTTACCTTTGTGTTTCTGTTTGCCCCCAAGTTCCTGAATTGTTTTGTGTCACCCAGGGGTTTTGTGTTTGTGGCTTTGTGTTCTGTGTATTTCTCAGCGCCTTTGTGTGTCTGTATCCGGGAGCATGGGTATGTGGATGTAGAGTTTTCTTCACACACTCTTCGTCCTCTTGTCTTTACTCAGTGTGGGAAATCTTAGGCCTTGAGCTCCAAGGTTGGGCCTAGGCCTGGGCCTGGGCCGCCTTCTCTGGGTATCTGGGCCCCGGCGCGCGTAGCTGCGGGAAGAAGCCTGGCGGGTAAGGCTCGGGCGTGCAAAGCCGAGAGGCGCCGAACCGCGCGCGGGGCCCGCAGGTCGATCGGGTGCACTCTGCCCTCTGCTGGCCACAGTGTGTCCCTGCAACCACTGCTGGGCACCGCCTGCAGGCGAAAGCCCTAGTTCCAGACCGGGACCTTCGCATTCTCCTTCAGGTTGCATAGAAGTATCTTCCTTGTCTCAAACCCTGAAGACGCACCTGGACCTTAAACGCTCCATGCAGTGTTCCACTTCCACCCGCACCTTCCCATTTCCCCACGCTCCCTGTGCCTGGTCATTTCACTTCATCGCTCTTCTTTTCTCTTTGGCTGAACGGAGGGCCCTGTGGCCCAGCCTCTGAAGCTTCCCTGACCCTGTGGATGGCGTCTAGAACCCGGTCTGGGCCTTTGGCTGTGTTGGTTGCGCTTTTTGCAATGCTTGAAGCGAGGTCTCAGCGCCGAGGGTACACCTGTAGCCCCCATTTGGTGCAGGGCTGGTGTGTTTCCAAGGTGCAGAGGTTACTGGCGGCTCTCCCTGCGCCCCTGTCCAAGCCGCAGCTCTGTTCCAGCAGGTCGACCCGGGGTGGGCTGCTGGAACTGTCGGCGACTCCTTGGGTGGAAAGGCTTCCATCTCTAGTTTGATTGAGGATGCTCCACCACAACCTTGATCTCTCTTCCACGCCTGTTTCCTCCCGTCCATTCTCCCCGACCCGGAGGCCTTGGCCGTTGTCCTTTGTCCTCACTTTCTCAACCTGTGTTGATTATCACCGGTCCTTTTCACATAGCCGCGCACGGTCGTCCACGTGTCCGTGAAGCATCCTTAGGGTTTTTGGCCTCCCAGTCTCTGCCTCCGTGGAAGAATAATACGACTGGACAGGAGGACACCGGCCTAGGCTCGGAGCCCAAGTCTCTCGCCTGGCTCTGCGGGATCTCAGCCATCGTTTCGGTACCAGCCATTGCCCCCCTGCGGCTCTGAGACTCACAAGGCGGCTGATCGCCCAGGCAGGCGTCGTCCAACGCGGGATGCTTGCTGCCTCCAACGTCTTGCGGCAGAATCTGCTCAGGACTGTTTCCACCTTAGCAAAGACAGAGGAGGCGGACTGCCAGCACCGCTGGGCTTGCAAGAAACAAACAGGAGGGAGCTGGGCTCTTCCTATTCCCAGAGGCGCGCAGCTCCTGAGCCCTGTCCTGAGGCTTCTGGCTCTTCTCCTTTAGGACTTCGCAACCTCTCGGTAGGACCCGCCTCGTACGTACGTACGAGCGTACGAGAGCTCACAGGGTGTGTGTGTGTGTGTGTGTGTGTGTGTGTGTGTGTGTGTGTGTGTGTGTGTGTGTGTGGTTAGGGCTACACCAGTGAAACTCCAATCGTTTCATGCTTCTGACCAGAGTCGGAGAGAGAGGACTCTCTAGGTTTAGAACCCATAGCTGGAGTCTCAGATCCCAGCATGAATGAGCACCGGGCACAGCCTTGGGTGCACCAGTAAGAAGGAGAATATCAGAAACATCCAGCCTGGCCTTTTTGCTCTGTCACTAGGACCAAGGCCATGGAGCACCTAGGCACACCCCACGCTGCCCCCCAGGCTAATGGAACCTCAAGATCTATGAGACTGAATTAAAGCTGCCCCAAGCCATGGTCCAGGTCGGGAGCACTCTCCGGGAGAGTCAGCCCCAGGTCCCGGGTGCTGAAGAATCCGCAGACTCCGGAAGTGGAACAAGGGCGTGCCCAAGGCTCAGCAGAGGTCGAAGGTGGGCTATTTCCAATTCCCGAGTGACCAAGCACACCTCTGAGCATCCCAGCTAGACTTAACCCAGGACGCACGGGTCAAAGGATGGGGCAGTCACTTCCCACCACCCAGGAAAAAGCTCTGAGGTCATCCTGTGCTGCTGGAAGCCCGCTTGGAGGTTCTCCAGAGAGGAGAGACTGGGAAGGGACCCTCGGGCTGCTTCTCATTCTCCACTGGAAGCTTTTGAGGCTGATGAGAGAGGGGTGCCGGACTTGCGGGTGACCAGTGTGTACTATGCCCACAGCGGGAGATGAGCCAAGTCCCTCAGCCTTCCAACAACCCCCACTCTGGCCATTAGGTCGGACTATTAGTCATGGGCTTGCTCCACATGTCAGGAAATCGGGCTCCCTCAGATCCAAAGGCTGCTGGCAGCCCTCGGGAAGGGCTGGAAGAGAAGGACACGGGCCCTCCCCAGGAGCTCAGGTCTCCCACCAGCTAGGCAGTGATTAAGGGCAGAGAGTGGCCTGTCTCGGGAAGTACCCCAGATCTTGTCTCAAGGGCTGGTTAGGAAACATCAGAATGGGAGACCTGCACCTCTGCACCTCAATGTCCCTGTCTGTGCAATGGACATAAAAAAGGCATCAATTTTACAGGGTTGCTGGGAGGGTGATGCAGACGCGCTCTTGGTGTGCCCAGCTCACTGTAGGGCTCTAGACTTACTATTTGATGAATAATTGTATGGGAGGGAGAGCTGCTTCTTAGACATAGGGGACTCTCTTCCTCCCCCTTCTTTTCTTCTTCCTCTAGAGCTAGAGGGAGAACAGACTTGTCTCAAATTCAGTCCTGTCTGGTGTCTTCCTTCCCTCTGGGGCAAGAGAAGTCAAGAAGCTGGTCACAAGAGACTCTGGGCACTGCCTGGGCATCCAGACGACCGCCCAGCCTTCTCCACTGGCTTTGCCATGAAACCTGGGGCTGAGAGCAGCTAGCACTCCCAGTGAGAGCTTTGGGATGATGACGATGATGATGATGAAGATGATGATGATAATGATGGTGATTATTTTTAGCCCATTGCTCAGAAACCCGTTAGGGGCTGGGATATGTATGTGTGTGTTATGTTTACTTTTACCAAGCACTTTTCTTAAGAATCTCTGCATTTCTTGCCAAATGGATGGTTTCAGCACCCAGTCTGTAAGAACGAGGGGCTCCCCAACCCAGGACAGGAGCCAGAACAAAGAGAAGGTGAAGGACCATGTTTGGAGCCATAAAAGCCTCATTAGGATCTCAAGAATAACTCACAGAATCGGACACAAATTCACAAAAGCCAGGGAATTCATTGGTCTCCACCCTGAGGGTCCACGGCTGGGGAAGGGGGTGGGTGTGAGCCAGGGCGGGTGCCTCTCCTATTTGATCTCTATCTTAAATCCACTTCAAAACGCTGCGGCGCAGCCGAATTGGAGGTTGGCCCCTTCCTGTAATTATTTGGTGTCTAGTAAAGTTTTTATGAGTGTCTGTGCAAATAAATGCATCTGATGATGTGCGGTTGTGTGGCTCCGCTGCTTGCTCCATGTGATGTAGGAGATGTGTACATCGTGTGCTGGCCCTCGGAAGAGAAAAGGGCAAAGTACAAGCAAATAAAATAAAGCCAGGACCTCGGCATCCATCAAGCAGAGGGGCGGGGCCTGGGCTGGTCCATTGCTGCCCCGCTAGCTGGCAGCTCCCTGTTAGCAAGGCCTGCCCAACCCCCCCCCCCCCCCCCATAACCTGCAAATAGAGTCTGAAGCCTTTGGGTGTGCTCTGTGGGGGTAATCAAGGTTGGGTGACAGACTTGGTGACTTGCTAGTTTCTGGAAAGGCCTTTTTGGAAACTGAACAAGGCTCACCTCCTCTACGCTCCCTGCTGGGTATTATGGCAAAGTCAAATGAATGCTAAGTAAGGAGGAGCTTGGGGAGTTACATTGTTGCCTGTGTGAGCTCAGTCCATCTGCCTGGGAGACGATGCTGGTCAGAGGGGCACGCTGCCTGACCAGTGTCTTCGGAAAAAGCCTCCAGGCTGGGCAGGGTGGGAGCTGGGGTCCTGCTCTTCTTTACACGACCTTTAAGCACAGTTGGAGGGTATCCTTTTCCTGTCTCAATGGGTTCTGTGGAACCCACGCTGGCCTACTCTCCTTCCAGCCCCACAACCTTGATGTGTTTGCTTTGAACTGATTATAGAACTTTATTGAACTATAATGTGCGTATAGAAACGTGTACAAAGTGTGAAATTATAAAGGGGACACTCCCATGCCACTAATCCTGGATTAAGAGCAAGGATGCCTCTAGTTTCCCAAAGCACTGCGTCCCTTCACCAGCTTAGCTGTGTTTGAACTTTATCTAAATGACATTGCACACCAAATTTTCCTTACTGTACTTAATCATGGGGTTTTGTAGGAAAAGTTGGCTCTCTCTGCTGGATGATGGGGGGCTGGCAGCTTGGGACTCCCTTCCCCTCAGGGGGATTGGTTTTCTGGAGTTTGAATCGATCACTCCCATCGCCTGCCTTTTCCCACCCATTTGGTTCCCACACTCTGTGAGAGGCACCTGTGTTAGTAATCTTGTATAAGCCTAGAATTCCTGCCCCCTCCCCCAATCTAGAATTTCCCAAAAGGAGCCACCCTCTACACTAGAGAAGTGCATCCAGAATCATCTTTCCTTTCAGCTCCTCCATCTACATCTAGTACCCTCTGAGACAACTGAAGAAGTCAGCACCTCAGAGAGGTGAAGTCCCTTGTGTGAGGTCACACAGCCTTGAAAGGGTCAGATCCTGGACTCAAACCCCAATTGGCCTAACTCCAAACCCCAGGCTCTTGTCACCTCTCCACATGGCTCCCCTGGGCATCCAGGCCCAGGCGTGAACAGTCCTCTTCCAGTGGGGAGGAAGCTGGACTTTTTCCAAAGGAAACGCTGGGAAACAGAAAACCCCAAACAGCAAACAGGGCAGGTTGGTTTCCAGGCCCCAGCTGTCTAACCTCAGGTAGTGTGAGTCTGATGGGGCTGGTTTGGTCTGGACTGGCCCAGTCTCCCCAGATGCTCTGTGTCACCAGTGGATGGCATTGTGACACTCACCAAGCCTGCCAGCACCCCATTCCTGAAAGTCGGCTATTCAGCCCCACCTCACAGATGGGAAAACTGAGGCATGGAGAGGTCCAGGGTCTTGTCAGCCCACCAGTTTCTTAGAGCCTGAACTGGGTTGCATCTGCTCCGGGGACTGCCCTGTTCGTCCCTGCCAGAACTCTCCTCAAACAAGTCTTGTCCTTGACTCTCTTATATGATCCACTCTTGGTATCCTGTTAGGCTTGAAGTGTGGCCCTAAGATTCTGGAGTCTGGGGGACTGCAGTGGGGGGCTGAGTAGTAAGAGCCCTTGGTTGTTCTGGCCTCGATTCTCTTATTTGGAAAGTAGTAGTGTTTTCATTACCTAACATTACTATTGGGGAGTTTAACTAGGTCCGTGGTCATTTTGTTTGTATATATGTGGGTACATGTGCATGGGAATGCATATCTCTGTGCGCGTGTGCATGCGCGTGTGCGTGTGCGTGTGTGTGTGTGTGTGTGTGTGTGTGTGCGTGTGTGTGCGCGCGCATGCTGATATCTCATGCTGAATCTGGAGTTGTAGATTCCAGCTTGGCCTGCTAGCCATTTTGCCACAGGGAACCCCTGTTTCTGTCTCCTGAGTGCTGCGATTACAGGCCACCTGCCTGTTTTTACAGGGGTTCTGAGGATCCAAACTACTGAGCCATCTCCCCAGCCCCTCTGTGGTCTTTAGACTCTATAACAATTCAGAATGTCAGTTCCTCCTATTAGAGGAGCCAAGGGATGTGCAAAGGCCCTGAAACAGGAAGGCACTGGGGCCAGGGGACGCCTTTGTGGCTGATCACAGCAAGGCTCTAGGTTACTTATGGGGAAGAGCTGACTACAGGCCCGTAGGTCACGAGAGGAGTGTGGACTTGCACTTGAGAGCAGATAGGAAGCCAGGAAAGGTTTCAACAGCCACACCATGGTCAAGTGTGTTGCTTAGAACAATCTCTCTGGCTGTAGTGAGGGGCAAGCCCGTAGGCCAGAGGCCAAGTGACCAGGCACTGGGTTTCAATATCCCCTTTGTATGCAATGAGGCTGGGCAGTTCGTAGAACAGGCCTTATCCTCCAATTTCCCATAGAGGTTATGTTTCCAGAGTCAGGGTTTCATGTTACACAGAGCTGTTCTTTCTGGAATGCGGCCCCCAAGCAACCCCTGCCGGACCCTCCACAGAAGGAGGGGCTCCTGCGAGTAAAAGACGCAGAAGGCTCAGCAGTGGCCGATCCCACGTTGGAAGCAGTGTCTGGTGCTGCTCTTGCTTCTAAGAACTGCAGTGGTGCCGAATGGTCCTGGTGCAGCTCCTGACATCACTGACCTCACGGAAGCCTAAAGTGACCCGGTGAGCTAGCTGTCCCGGTTGCCCAGTGAACGCACCCGGAAGGTGAGGCTCACAGGGTGAATGAAATGCCTTGCCCAAGGTCACTGCCTCCATGCTGACACCTCTGGGTACCAAGAAGCATTGTGGGGGAGGGGTAATGTATTCATGCGAGTGCCTGTGTATGTATGTGCCCGGTGTGCCTTTGAGCTTCCTGAAATCTAGAAAGCCCTGTAACTGTTCCACGTTGTGTGGAAAAGCCAGAAAATTCCATTTGTGCATCTTAATCCCACCTCCGCTCCAGCCCACACGGTATGCCCAGCAGAGTTCTCCTCCCTGGAAGAGCTTGGCAAGTGAGGCTTTTGTAAACCCAGGACAAGCCTCCAAGTCCAGAAACCTTCCGATGGCCTCTCACGGCCTGGTCCCCCTCCCTCCCCTCTGCTCTCTGCATCATTCACCTTGCCAAGACGCTTGGCCTTGTTTCAGCTTCTCAGACTTGGCCAGGCTACTCCCTCAGCCTGCAGAGCTGGACTCTGTCTTGTGTTTAGGTCACTCCTGTGCATCTTTTGTGTCCCTGTAAATGTCACCTCCTCCCGGAAGCCTTCCTTCACATTCTGACAGGTCAGACTACCTTGGCTGTGTTCTCACTGTCCTTGTCTCTCCTTCATGGTTTAAGTAGGTTAAACGTCTCCCTCACCCCCTTTCTGTTCCTTTACAGCTTTGAGAGGAATCCAGGAATGATGGGGAAGGACTGATGGGGAGCAGATGGGTACTATATGTTTTGGTCATTTGACAGGCCAGTAACAGCCAAACTCCCCAAGTGTTGCTCTGTCACAGTCTTCTCTAAGGCCAACTCTGATCAGTGTTCTCACTTCGGCCAGTCTCACCCCTAGTCCACAGATGGGGAAACTGAGGCTCAGGCATGGGAAGGCACATGCCCACATCCCACAGAAGACCTGAGATTTGAACCTGCATCTCTCAGAGCCTGGGTTCGTACTTTCTGTGGCAAGCTGAGGACATCTTTTGACTTGTCTTCTGTGGGGCTCCCAGCACTGCACCTGCCCCCGAGGAAGCCCCCTGGTAGGTGGACTTACCGCCTCTACCTGGTACCTGCCATTGTTGGCTGCTAGGCTGGGCTTCCTCTGCCTGGTGGCTGGCACAGGGAAGGGTGCCAGGTGTCTGCTGTCACCTTGAGTAAACCTTCTCACAGATACTCTGAGAGCAGAGACATTTGGGAAGAGAGTTACCCTGTAGCCACGTCATACCAAACAATGGCAAAGACATGGGTAATACCAGAGACCCTCAGCAGGACTCTGCTTTTGTTTTGAGAAAGTAATTATCAAAGATTTTATTGATTGATTGATAAATCCCCCTCCCCCGCCCCATTTTTCTTTTTTCTTTTTCTTTTTTTTTTTTTTTGGTTTTTCGAGACAGGGTTTCTCTGTGTAGCTTTGTGCCTTTCCTGGAACTCATTTGGTAGCCCAGGCTGGCCTTGAACTCACAGAGATCCGCCTGGCTCTGCCTCCCGAGTGCTGGGATTAAAGGCGTGCGCCACCACCGCCCGGCCGCCCCATTTTTCAAGACAGGGTTTCTGTATGTAGCCCTGGCTGTCCTGGAATTCGCTTTGTAAACCATGTTGTCCTCAAACTCAGAGATTCACCTGCCTCTGCCTCCTGAGTGCTGGGACTAAAGGTGTGGACCTCCGCATGGGGCACTTTTTTTTTTTTTTTTTTTTTTAAGGTTTCTGCTTTTCTGCTCTGGCTATCCTGGAGCTTGATATGTACATCAGTCTGGCTTTGAACTCATAGGGATTCTCCTGCCTCTACCTCCCAAGTGTTGGGATTAAAGGTGTGCATCACCATACCTGGCCCCTAAACCTTTTATTTTTGGTAAACTTTTTGTTCATTTGTTTGTAGACAGTCTGGCTTACAGCTCTGGCTGGCCTGGTACTCACTATGTAGCCTAAGCTGGCCTTAAAGTATCAGCAATCCTCTTGCCTCAGCCTCTCAAGTGCTGGGAATAAAGGCATGTATTGCCATACCCAGCAACTTCTTTTGTATTATGAAAAATTTCAAATGTATATAAAAGTAGAATAATTTACCCATTACCTA